ACCTCAGCAGAAGGTCTGCATTCTTTAGACTTGAATAGTTTGGCAGAGATGGTCATGTTTTTTGAAGAGACTTTCTCATCAGATGCTTCCTAAATAATTTGTCATGTTCCTGGCTGCTTATTTTGGCAATCCTTTTGGTGGTTAATGCCTTAGAGGAGTTTTCTAATGCTGCTTCTTGTCTCTAAGAGTAGCTAATGAATTATCACCAGAGTCCCAGACAGAGGTGTGGGCTCTGTAGGAAGACAGCAGAGTTAACTTCTTACCTTTGGAGAAATCATGCTGGGGACCTAAACTTGGTGGCTGTGACAGGGTGAGTGTTAGTCCCTGGGCCTCAGAACTATGCAAGCCTCTGGGACACATGCCAGAAGCAACCCAAAGGAGGATGCTGGAGGGTTCTGGTTAGCTTGTTTCCCCTTGTCCTTATATCTATCAGATCTGTCCTTAGACAGAAGTCCATATCCTGAGGGGAGCTTGTGAGTAAGCATGAGCCTTTCTCATCCCAGTAGAAAGAATGTGGGGGGGGGAGGACAGACCACTCATCTCTATTGAAAGTGCCCATTGGGATCTTGTCAGCAATCCTCTAGGATTCCTTGAATTTCTTCACTCCTGGGTATGTGTTTTGGACTTGATGAGAGTAGGAAACACCACAAAAGAAGGTGAGCTCTAGTAACAAATATGGGCTACAACAAGGGACAAGAAAGGAAAATAAGATGCCCCATGGAGGTTCTCACTTTGGTTTTCCCAAAGTTTCTGACAAGGTTTAAACAGGAGCCAGGGTCCTAGTGAAGTATCTTAGGAGGCAGACATTTGTTGGCAATGGGAGGGTTACACAGTGTCTGGGGGAGGGTTATGCAGTGTCTGGGGGAGGGTTATGCAGTGTCTGGGGGAGGGTTATGCAGTGTCTGGGGGAGGGTTATGCAGTGTCTGGGGGATGGTTATGCAGTATCTGGGGGAGGGTTATGCAGTGTCTGGGGGAGGGTTATACAGTGTCTGGGGGAGGGTTACACAGTGTCTGGGGGAGGGTTATGCAGTGTCTGGGGGAGGGTTATGCAGTGTCTTGGGGAGGGTTATGCAGTGGTGACTGTAGGGTTATGCAGTGGAGGATGGGAGAGTTATACATGTAATGCTTATGACTATTGAAGTCAGTGATGAAGAAGGACTAGGAATTGAAATAAATGTAAAAAAAAATCTAAAAATGGAACCTGGAGGAAGTTCTGAATTCACATCATTGTTTCAGTATTACTTTGGTGCCAAGAAAGCTATTGCAAACATCATCAACTAGAGGAAGCCAATTAAGAAACACAAGGAAATCTCCATGGGCATAACCCTGATTCAGAGAAAGTGGGCTGCAATCCAGTGGGTACGAGTTTAGCTTTGCAGCTGCACTCTGCATCACACACCCACTTTTCCACACTTTTGTACCTCGCACATTTCCACTATGCTCAGCCTACCTTTCAAGGTTCATCTTGACGTTGCCGCTTCTGAGGCTTTCTCCAGGACTCTCAGTTGGACTTCACCTCTTTCTTCTCTGAGTTCCTGTCACCATGGTTTATAATTCTGTTACTGCATATCACTTGAAACACAAAACCAAACAAAAAAATATCTGTCTATCATACAAATGCAAATGTGAATTATCAAAGGTAGGGTTTTTTTATGGCTATGTTGTTGACTCAGATCTGTTCTGAGGATGGAAGGACTGGGGTGACCATCCCCTGAACCTCCTCCTATAGTTAGTGCCTGCTGTCTATAACCCCAGTCACTTTTTCCCCAGCTAGAACTGTCTAAGCTAATCAGATGAATGGGTTATGCAGTAGGCTCACCTGACTCTTCTTGCCCTGCCGTTCTGGGCAGTGACCCGCTCCATGCTGGTACACGGTGCTCCTGGCTAGGCGTACTTACAGCAGGAGACACTATTTACTTTGCTTAGTTCCAAGCCCAGCATTCTCGCTTTGATCTCTGTGGCCTGCCCCACCTCACCCCTACCATTGTCCTGTCCTGGGAGCTAATGTTGCTCTTTTCCTAACTCAGGAGGCCACATAACTCTCTCTCTCTCTCTCTCTCTCTCTCTCTCTCTCTCTCTCTCTCTCTCTCTCTCTCTCTCTCTCTCTCTCACTGTTCTGAGAGGATGCCCAGGGACTCAGTCATGCTGGAGAGCCACTGCAAATAGATTACCGTGGCTCAGCCCCTAAAGGCTCCAGTCTGTACCATTTGCTAATTTTTCCTCCTACATTCAGTTGCTTCTTTTCTTTCTTCTTCTTCTTTTTTTTTAATCTGTTTGGTTTTTCTTGTCACCTTAGTGATAACAGATAAAGTATGATGTAAGAGATTGTGGATTTTGATCCTGATAAAGGCTGGATTTCCATGTTGACTAAATCTGTCATTCAGAGAAGTAAACAAGTAATGGTTTTATGTTTATATCTTGAAAACAAACTGCTTGGAACTTAACTCTGTTCTGCTTACTAGTTGTGCCTAGATATCTCAGTCAAATGGGGTCATACTAATGCCTATCCTGTTCATTTATTCACAAATAGATGAGCCCTCAGCAGGTGAGGAGCTCTCCTAGGTGACAGAAAAGTGGTAAAGAAAAAGATTTTTTTAAATGGGTTAATATTTAAAATACTTAGAGCAATGCATACAGTAGGCATTTAGTAAATGTAATGATATCGCTAGTACTTTTCTGAGACTAGATGTGTGAGCAGGATAGCCATTGGCAACTACAGGACCAGATCTCTCTGGGGAGAATAGGGGAGGGACCAAGATCGGGTTCTAGACTTGGATTTAGGTCCAGGGTAGCCACGCTTGAATGGCTTTTACTTCTAGCACTTCATGAGCTGGATAAAGATCAGCCTAGAAAATGAGTCTGTCTCCTTCCATGTAAAGGGCAGGGGTCAATGACCCTGGGCTGCTTGCATTCTGCCAAGCCCATTTTGTGAAGACTGTGCTGTACCTTCTAAGCTGTATGTGAATGACCCAAGAAGAGATACGGTTCTTGAGCAAAGGACCCAGACACTGAAGAAAGGAGAGCATCTTTTGGTCTCTTTGCTGCAGCGTCTGCTGCCCGTCTGGCACAGGGCTACAGTAGGGGTTAGAGAGTTGCAGCTAGTACAGAGGAGGAGGAGAGGTACTCCTGCCTGCTGCTTTGCCTTCAGGTTCAGGTCACTCCTCAGGGAGTGTAGCTGAAGATGGCCATATGATAACTCTCTGGGATTACTGCTGGAGGCAAAGTTTAGACTCTAGGCTCCTTGATTCACTGTCTGTGGTTTCCAGTGAAAGTCCCAACCTTATTGAAACCTGGGTTATGTTGCAATAAAATGAAAGAAAGGCCAAGCCTGGGGTAGTCTTCATGGAGGTGAGGTTGGCTTAAGATGGATGTTTTTTATCCCCTGTGGATCCACAGATTCTTCAACCTCTACCCCATCAAGGAGCCTCACTAGATCTCCAGTGATCCAGCAGCCACCTCACTGCTTCCTGCAAGGTCCCATTTTGTTCTTTCCCCTCAGTGGGCTTCAGAAGTGACGTCAGGCTGGGGCTGCAGCATCAGTGGTAGAGCATCCCCTAGCATGTGTGAAGCCCTGGGTTCGATGCCCAGCACCTTAAAGAACAAAGTTCTTATAGCACAGGAAATGTGTTTGGCATGAGCTGTTGTATGCAGGCTGAGGGTTTTAGGGTTGGTTCTCATGTAGGCTCCTGGCCTAACTACTCTCCTAGACCTGCTAAATGTGGCTGGGAACCATCATTGTTGGCATGCCTCAGGACAGGCAAAGCACTTTCTGGACCCGTTCTAGGACTCTGAAGTGCAGCTGTTTGGGACACCAGGACACCAGACATCATGCTCTTATCACATTGTTACCGCGTTTTGTTCAGTCTTCGGCCATTCTTTCAGTTCAGTTCAGCTGAAAAGAGAGTCAGGCAAAGCATGTAGCTGTGATTGAAAGTCATACATCCCGCGGCAAAGGTGATGTATAATTAAGCAGTTTCTCAACTTTCATGTCATTATCACCTTCTTAAGGAATCTTCAACTTTTTCCTAATCACCCCCTCTCAGGAAATTATACTTCCACAGCTATACCAAAAGTCTGTTTCTAGAGCCTGTAAGATGATGGCTCAGTAGATAAAGGTGCCGACTGTGAAGTCTCATGACCTGAGTTCCATCCCAGAACCCGTGTGATGGAAGGAGAGAACCATTTCCCACAGGTTGTCTTCTAACCTGAGTGTATGTTTGCATATATGCCTAAAAATTAATGCAAAGATAACATCTAATGTACTACATGTGTGTTTATGTTAATAGACTATATAGGAGGAACCTTTTTCACTCTTCAAAACACTTCTCACCTCCTTGGGAGGAGTGTCACCGCACTGAGCGGTATGTGGAGCGTAGTATGCACGGTTGGGTTATAGCGCATGAGATGGCAGGTGGATCTCCAAAGCTGTCACTGTACTTTCCCACACTGACAAACATCATGCCACCATAATTTTTTCTTGTTTCTCAGTCTGCTGTCCCTATTTTGCTCCCTTCCCACATCTGTATTTCATTCTTTTTCTCATTCTACTGTGGAAGTTCAGGAGTAAACTTAGTTAAGACAGCTAGCTGTGCAGCTCAGGGACTTACTTCCTTTTGTGTATGGAGGTGCTGCTGGGAATTGAACCCAGGGCCTTGTGCATGCTAGGCAAGCACTCGGTCATTAACTGTACCCCCAGCCCAGGAAGATAGTTTCCTAAAACAGCCCCCCAACAGGTTATCTCTTAAGAAGAAAGAGAGACCTGGGCAGTGTTCCCAGGAAAGCACAGTTGACTTCATGGCAAGTGGCCTTTCAGCAGAGAGTGTCTTCTTTCTCAGGAACCCTCTGTGTCAGCAGGCCAGCAGGCTTTCAAATGGAAGCCCTGTATCAGGTCATACTTCTCCACACAGATTTGTTTGGGGCTAATGGCAGTTCTGTCAGTGGGATATACCTCTCTTTTCTCTAGCAGGGCAGACCAATGACAATGTTGCCTTTCTTCTAGAAATTGCCAGAGGCATGCACTGTTGGTGATGGAAGGCCATTTGCCACGAATCTGCAGAGTCTGTATGTGGCCGTCACCAAACAACAGATCCAAGCAGGACAGAAGCATCAAGGCCCTGGTGAGTATTTCCAGTCACAGCTGGTTTGCTTGGGGAAGAGTTAGAGCTTAAGTCTGTGCTGTTGGATTTAGCAGTTCTACCTATATAACCTATTTACATTTCAATTAATAAAAACTAAATGAAATTAAAAATTCATTTCCTTATGTACTTTAGCCATATTTCAAGTATTCAATAGCCGGTGTGGCCAGTGCAGATACAGAACACGTACCTTACCACAGAACATTCTCATAGCTAGCCAGCCCAGGTGCTTAGATGTTAGCAAGAGAACTAGCCAGAAAATTAATCCAGGGGAGGCATAGAGATTTGTTCACCTCTTGTGAATCACGGAAGCTCAACCTACGTGCTGAAAGTGGGTTTTGGAGTCTTCATAGGAACAGAGCTTGTTCAGTGTCAGCTGGAAGCTGGATCCTTCAATCTGTTAATATATTAATAGCAAACTCTGCCCTTCGTCCGATGGCTCTGTGAGTGCGTCTGTCCTCCCGAGAACAGGCGTTTCTCTGCCTTCCGTTGATCTTTCTGATTTCAGGAGAGTCTCAGACATCATGCAGCACCTCCCCCCGAGGAGCTGATAGTCGGCTTCTGAACCAGACAGAACAGCCAGCCTCTTCTACTCCAGCCCTCTCAGAGCCTGAATCTGAGCCCATGGTGAGTCACACATGAACAGCTTCCTGGGCAGCTATCTGAACACTGGAGAAGTTGGCACCCGTAACCTCTCAGCCATGGTCTCTGCAGTCGCTGCCCTGTTGACACAGCTTTGATAGTATGAGAGAGATTGTGAGCCCATTCTTGGGATGAATGATGAACTGTGACTCCCTTTGCACTTTATCCTGCTTCCGGTGATGGCCCATGAGAGACAGGCCCACTTAGGATTTTACGGCACTTCCTAAAACACACCTCCGAACCCCTACATCAGATACTTTAAGAAGGGCTTCACACCAACCAGGAGCCAAGAGAGATCAGTTTCAAAGCTGCAATTAACTGGGATTCCTTTTCCTCTAGGGTGCTTCAGGCCCTATGCAGAGACCTCAGCTGGCAAAGGCCAAGAGGAAGAAGCCACGAGGACTCTTCAGTTAACTTGCCATGTCTCCACCACTGAGAACACAACAGCTTCCCTGCATCATCTGGAAAGGAGCCAGCATGGCACAGTATCCCTCGGATGAGCTGCAATCGGAGGCCCAAGTTTATGTTGACAGGCCACCTGAATGGGGACTTCCTCTCTGGCAAAAGGAGCTTGGCTCTGGTTCCAACTCACTAACACTGGCATTCTATACACGAGTGAAACCAGCTCCTCATTCAATGGCGTTCTTCCTGTAGAGCTCCTACCTATGGTGAACTAAGATAAAACAAGTCTGCAAAGAGCCACATGCCCAAGACACCTGTCTGCTTTCACAAGGGTCCCTCACAGTCCCACATTCCCCTTAGAAACCTACTTCTCACCTAACACAGAATAAAGGGCGCTCAACTGCCCTGCTGTTGAGGCTGCCTGCTTGTGGTCTGTAACCTCTTCACACCTGCAGCCCCTTGTTATCTCTGGACCACATGGAGCTGTCAGTCCCTTCCTACAGTCAGCTTCTCTGATATGGCCTGAGGTTGGTCACAATTAGAAACCTTGATCTTAAGAACTCTCTCTGTCAAGCTTGGGTGTGTGTTGTTTTCTGTCTCCTTCTAAAGCACAGAGAACAGGTTAAACCATAGTGTCAGGTACAAATTACAAATGGCTTCAAGTACTAGAGCTAAATCAGGTTGGGGGGAGGGAGAAAAGAGAATTTGACACACACACACACTCTGTGTGTGTGTGTGTGTGTGTGTGTGTGTGTGTATGTGTGTGAGAGAGGTCTTTGTCTTTCTACAGCCCCATCCCTCAGCCCAAGACAGGGTCTCACTGTGTAGCCCCAGATGGCCTGGAACTCACTATGTAGACCAGGCTGTCCTACGAATTCAGAGATTTGCCTCCCCAAGTGCTAGGATTAAAGGTGTGTGCTGGCTTGAACTATGTACAGGGGGATGACCTTGAACTTCTGTTGTTCAGCACTTAGTGCTAGGATTACAGGCCACACCTGGTGTGTGCTGTGCTGGAGATCAAGTCCAGAGCCTCCTGCATGTGCTAGGCAAGCACTCTACCCAGTAGGCTATTCCCCTAAATTTGCCTTCTTTCTTCACTTTAAATAATGTAGTAAGTATAGCTATGATGCTAGGGAACAGGAATCCCAGAAGTCCCCTAGAACAGAACTGATATCTAACAGTGTCTAGTAGGGAGCTGTAGTAAGCTGTCATGTCCCTAGAAGATTGCTATGAGTTCAAGGCCAGCTTGGGCCACAGAGTAAGATCTTGTCTGAGAATAAGAAAAGGCTGTGTAAGACAGGCAGAGCCCAAAAGCCACTCTCCGGCCCCCAGGCTTATCTGCACAGTGTCTTGGCCTTTTCTACGGTCTTCCTCTATAGTAAGAACATCTGAAACTTGGACTTGGGTTGATAGCAGTGGGAAGTGAACTCAGGTGTTTACTGGGAACACTTAGGTAGAAGGAGAAAGGCAGATGCAGAAGCCATTTTGGTTTGCTTGCTTTGGAGGGCTTCCTCATCCATGTCTCCTCCCTCTCTCCCTAAAACTGAAATGTCTGCCCACATGTTAGTCCATGGGGACAGGATCATACAAACTGTGCTAATGTACTAATTATTACAACAGTTAGAACAACAGTACCAAACAGTTATTGAGCAGTTCATGTCCTGATAGTCTGTCCAAGTGAGCGAGCATCTCACAGCATCATCTGAAAATGATGAGAGTAACCCATTAGGAAACCTAGTCTTGAAATGATTGGCATCTTAAAGGTTATGCAGCTGGTGGCAGGGAGAATTAGTAAACACCTCAGCTAGTCACAGCTTATTAGATACTTGACTGGAAATATGTCCAGGGAGATTTTGTATCCTCTTTCAGTCTTTCACAGCCTACACCTCTACCCTGAACCCTGCCTTCAAGCAGACCGCTCTCCTCCATGCAGACTCACCAAGGCAGGATCCCCTGAGGATGAGGACTTGCTGCTGGCTGTACATGTCCTACTATTGTTCACTCTACCTTTGGGCCATACCATGGGTGTCACCACAGTGAAGCTCAGTGTCCTATGCTAGCTAATTCTTCTGCACAAATGGCAGCCTCAATCAGGCATTCTTAATCACGAATTCCCTAAAACTGCAAGGAAAATTCCCCAAACATATCTTTGTTTATTTTCTCATGAGATTGTAGGACCCTGTCAAAAGAGTATGCCTAATCACCTTCCAGGCTACTGTGCCTGTGTTCCTAAAGGCTGCTCCTGCCTTGGGGGCATTGCTCACATGCCTTGTTAGGGGAGCATTACTGCCAGAGGTCCTGGCTCAGGCATCATTGAAGCCCTTACCCCTGAGCTTGGGTGGTGTTTCAGAATCATTCATCCCAGGGCAACTCCAGGGAAATCCCTGCTTTGACAAATTGGCCTAACCAGGCTCTATTCCAGCCCTGCCCCCTGGCTTGGGCCCCTCCCTGAGGCCCCCAGCCTGGCCCAACCCCCACACCCCATGCACATAAAAGGGTCGAATTCTCGTGGCTGCTCCATAAATTTTATTCCGTAAATATTAGTTTTCCCTGTGTTTAATAAAGCAGTGGCCCACCTCCCCGCCTACCCGCCCGCTCCCCGGGGCCGGGGCTGGGGCCAGGGCTGGCTGGTGGGAGAAGGGACTCTTTCAATTGCTTTGGAGTATTTTTAGAAAAAAAAATAATATAAGGTGGTTTACACGAGCAAGCCAGCAAGCCAGGAGCAGGGCTTGGGACCTCGAGGAAGTTCCTGCAGCTACTGGACCTAAAAAGTAGGGAAACAGCGCCACCTAGGTCGCGAGGTCTACTTGGCCTTGCTGATTGATTGCCCGAGTCAGTGAGGGGCCAGCCAGCTAGCACAGGTCACTCCTTGCCTAAGGAGATGTCCTTTCTGTGCTCCAGCTGGGTGGTACCCTTTACCTGGTGTCTCATGGGATTTTTCGGCGGCGCTCCCAAGCTGGGTCCTGGAAAATCCCAGCAGCATCTTTCCTTTTTCTTGACACCAGGAGCCAGCCTCCTGATCCAGGAGTGCTTCTGAGGTAGAGTGAAGTAACTGAGAAGGAGGGAGTCACCTTGTCTTTATCTTCCCTGGAATTCCTAAACCCCAAGGTGGCAAAGAGAGAGGTCTGTGCTCCCGACTGGCAAAGTTCAGCCTGGCTAGACCAAGATCTTTGCAGGAGGGCAGCAGGGCTCGTCCAGGGACTCTGGGGGAGGACCCCTTGTTCACCACCCCCATCTTCCAAGCCTTACTGCCACTGATACAGGTGGGGCCCAGCAGGAGAGTTCCAGGGGCTCCTGAGTATGCTGAAAAATGGTACTAGGGATGGGAGGTTTGAGGAGTTGCATCTCTCCTCTTACCTAGCCCCGGATTCCTTCTCCATCATGCCTGATGTTCCTGATGTTGCCAGGGACAATATTCCTTCTCTCCTCTTACTTTGTCTTTAAAACTATAGAGATTTGCTCAACAGAGTTTAGGAGGATCCTAACTCCTGTAATGATTCTGCCCTGATGTGAGCTAACCTCTGGTAACCCCATCACAAGTGCATTATTAATGTAATCTATGTTAACAGACACTTTTCTAGTGTGCTTTGTTTTCCTCTTTTCATGTGAGAAGTTTTTGACTCTAACTGTACAGTGTCACTGAAATTATATTATAGTAAGTATTAAAGATCTAACTATGGTGACAGTCATTTAAGCCATCAGAATATGTTTTCCTAAGTTCTTCTCTGAGTAATTTGTCTTTTGTAATATTCTTAGGGGTGGGAGGAAACTATTCAAAAGGAATAAGTGATATACTATAAGGAAGCCATCAACCATGGTTACAAGTCCCTGTTACCTGGAAAAGTTAGAACAGATTATACTAGGCCCTTAGACACAGGGGAAACCTCAGGCAAAGAGGAAGTTGCTTTTGTGGAGGGGTCCCTAGTTGCTGACCCCAAGAATAGTATATGATACTCAAGCCAAGTTTCTTTGTTGCTCTTGATCCCTTCCTTGGTCCATTGCCCTGGGCCTCAGAAGATGCTTCTTGAGGGCAAACACTGAGAGGAGGGAGTGTGAGGCAGCTTGTCTGTGTGTGAGGGATGGGGACCCCAGGAAATCCTGGAGAAGCTCCAGCCACCACATTCTCTTCACACACAGGCACTGTCTTTTTTGGCAATCCTTTATGTGTCCCTCCAGTTCTGTGGTTCCCACCTCTCTACCCTGGCACATGGGATGTCAGTAGATGGTACCAAAGCACTTCACCAATGCTTAGTCCTTTTCCTGGACTGGTAATAACCACATTCCCAGTTTTTTTTGTGTGTACCCCAACAACCCGTGGTGGTTTCCCACAACCTTGGACCCTCGTGAGGGCTGGCTGTGGCATCCGACTCTCATGGACTTCTGAGAATCAGATCAGCCTACCAGGGGAACCCGGAAGGCATTGAAAGAACTCCAGGGTGTGGGGAGCACACAGCCATTGACTCACCTGGGAAGATTGTGCCAGGATTGCTTGTCCCCTGGGCCAAGGGCCAGTAGTTAAAGGAGCATGCAGTACCACTCTACCCCCTTGAACTTTGGGGCCCCAAACAGTGGCAGAGCTGGAGACCTGGGAAGTAGGACCTGGGGGCTTCTAGGAGTCTCTTCTGAAATCTGGGGTTATATTTACTTTTTCACGTTGGCAGCTGGAAGGGGAAGCCCATCCCAGCTCAGCATTGTTGTCTAACATGGTTAATCAGATCCTATAATCCTGCTGTGGAAATATTGGGCCTCACTCAAAACAATAGAGACCAAGAATATTGTGGTTAAATTTCAACCAGCTGCCTCCCTGGCCTGTTTGCCTAACCCCTACCCCCCTCTCCCGGGCCAGAGTCCTCCCGGCTTTATGGACCCCTGATAGGATCGACAGCCTGGTCAGAAATAGGTGACAGGAGAGGGGGAATGAAGCAGGGAGAGACAGTCCTCTGGACTGCCATTCCATCCTCCCTCCCTCCCTCCCCAGGCCTTGAATGGTCACCAGGAGTGATAAGAGGTGTCAAGAACAGTACTGCTTGGAATCATAGGTGGTAAAGGAATTCTCTATTCAAGACATGAGCAGGAAAGACTTCCGATCTCACCATTGCCATCTGATGCTGCCAAGGAACAGAGCAGTAACAGCTGGTCTTGCGCCACTCATGGGAGGAATGGAGGAATGGGAAGACACTGGTTGGGAAGGTGGAGTGTTAATAACCCAATAGGACAGCAGACTTAGTGCCAGTATCCCAAAGATCTGTGGAGGTGATGGCAATGACAGCTTGAGTGGTCTCATGGTATCACTAACTTTGATAGCTGTGTGAAATGTAGCAAGATAATTATTATAATATCAAGACAAAAGAATAAATCTTAGAAGAGGAGAAGGAAGAGAAGGAGGAGGAAAGAGAGGAAGGAAGGAAAGAAGGAAGGAAGGAAGGAAGGAAGGAAGGAAGGAAGGAAGGGAAGGAGAGTGAGTTAAAGCCCAGTGCCTGGATTAGGATCTGTTCATTGAGAGGCAGGGAAAGTTCCCTTTGCAGACTCTGAGCTTCTCTAGGTTTACACCCCAGATAT